TATATATATATTTAGAGAGAGAGAGAGAGATTTCAAAGATATCATAGACATTAGGGCTGGAAGCAATGTTCCCTCTAAGGTGTAGCGATCCATGAGCGCCCCGCTTCAGCCCGTGAGCGCGCTGCTTTGGTCTGTGAGCATGCTGCTTCGGTCCATGCCGGAATTGGTCCTGCTTCCTCCTTTAATGCTTAATATTGCACTGTGTACCAGATGCATTCTTTAATATTCATCTCAGTCTATTTATTATCTTGTTAGATGTTTTTCTTTAAAGGCCCAATTCTGCTTTTAATTTGCATTGTTGTAAATAATAGAAGAAACTAGCTGTAATACCCACATGCTACCTTGTAATCATGTCAGTGTGGCCAGGATTAAGACTTAATTAATACTTAAATATGGGCAAGCATTTGAGTTCTCTGTCTTCAGTTACCAAAGAGCTGACTTCGTCTCCAGTACCTTTGTTACATGAAGTGTGTGTACCTCCCTGTCATGTCTCTTGGACCCACATGCAGGTTGCACTCTGCCTGCTCCCCACCTCTGTGCATCACTGCAGCCTTTGAAAGTGGCGTGGCGCCATGTGCATCCCTCCGATGGGCAGATCAGGCAGTGAGGCACATGGCATCGCTTTCAAAGGCTGCAGCGATCAGCAGGAGGCGGGGAGTAGGCAGAGTGCGGAAGACCTGTGGGACTGCCGGGCTTTGGCATGGGACCTGTGGGGCTTGCAACACGGTGATGAAAGCTAAGATTAGGGTGAAGCCAGCAGGGCTTGGGGTGAAGCTTGCCTGAAGGGACTGGGGACCCTGGAGCCAGTGGAACCCGTGCGGTGCCCAACTTGGTCCCCGCCCCTGCCTTGCCTCAGGGAGGAGCCACTGCCTGCTCCACATTGCTGGCATGGAGGAGGAAGGGGCAAGGGCAATGATTGCCCACTGATCAGTGGCTCAGCCCCTCACGGGCTGCTCTGGTCGGGGTTGTGCTCTCCCTCCCTGCGGAAATGCCGGTGAGGAGCAAAGTGAAGCGGAGAAGCCTCCATGCAGCCAAGCAGTAAGTGTCTGGCGCCAGCCCTGGTGCACAGCATTAAAAAGTTACTGCGCAGCAACATTTTTGATTGTGCGCACATGTGCGCAGCTTAGAGGGAACCGTGACTGGAAGGGACCTCGCAAGAACATCAGGTCCAGCCCCTGCCCAAGGGGCAGGAAGTCAGCTGGAGTCAAATCACGCCAGCAAGATAAGCATCCAAGTGTTTCTTAAAGGTATTCAGAGTAGGTGCTTGGACCACTTCTGGGGGGAGTTTATTCCAGACTCTGGAGACTCAGACGGTAAAGAAGTTTTTCCTTATATCCAGTCTAAAATGGTCTTTCACCAGTTTGTGACCATAAGATTTTGTCTTCCCTTGGGGTGCCCTACTTTTAATAAATGGAGATATATATATATATATATATATTACAAAATTGCTTGTGCATGTGGAACTTATTCTTTTAGGACACCCAGTTAGGTAATTATTTGCCAGGTATCTGGGTGGGGGCTTGAGCCTAAACTTCCAGCATTTGAAGCCAGGCCTCAAATTGCCTGGCAGAAGGGTTACACTTGCCCTCATGTGTAGACAGATTTTGAAGTGCTCAGCACCCAAGAACAGAGGTGGGATACATTAGTGAGAGAGAGGAACAAAGGAACTAATCAAATATAATACATGTTTGGCGTGTTCTACATGTCTAAGCAAAACCCTGAAGACCTGATGCTTCTAACTATAAAACCAAATTTGTTTATTCATATAGAAATAGGAATATTTTAGAATCCATGTTACTTCCATCCACCTGAGTGCTCATACATGTACTTAGCCATAGGTACAGTTATTAGGATACCTAATTGTTGATTACAGACCTCATGTGTGTGATCTGAGTATCTAAAGTAGTTTTCCCCACATATGAAAGAGTGGCTTCCATCTGAAGTGTTACTGACAGTTCTGCTGTATCAGAAGCCTTTGTTGTAGTATCAAGAATGTTTCTGGAAGCCCAGAGTCCTTTTCAACAGGAAAGAGAGAAAAGAACTGGGACAAATCTATCCATCCCTCATGGAAGGATAACTAGTTGATATGGGGCTTTCTTCCTCTACCATGCCATACATACCTACATGCTAATTCATGAGCAATGACAGGAAAAAAATTAAAACGGGCAAAAATGACTCTTTCTCCTCCTCTCATGTCAAAACCCTGAGTTGGCAAAAGGATTCCGTGTACTGTCAATAGCCAACAAAAAAAACCAAACCCCGTATTAAATGCTTTGAGCTCATCCTTGAAAACTGCAAAGCATTTGTTTTGTTCTCTCTGCATAATGTTTTAATCTGATGAGCAAAAGCTGGATATTGCTCTCTTTTATTCTGGACACACAGAATCACAATGCGCAGAATGAAAGAAAGCAAACCCCCAAACTGCTGACAATCTCTGGAAAGAGGGCAGGGTGAGGCGGGGCTATATGATTTTATTTAGTTTGCTGCAGTTGGGTGGCAGGCAGTTCCACAAGCCTCCACAGAGATAAGTCATAATAATTTGTGCAGGGGGATTATCTTCTGTTTCTCTTCCTCAAATCCCCCAAACATATTCCAGATCCAAATTGAAGACACAGGGACATACACAAGTGGGGGCCTTGGAACTGCAGATCCCCAAAACCATGTACAGGAGCAGCTACCTGCGTGAAGTGCGGAAGGAGAAGTACGAACGATCAGATGCCTATGATGAACTACCAGGCTCCTCAGACTTTGACAGCCTGGCTCAGGCCCAAGGCCTGGAAAACCTACAGGATCTCAATGAGAGATTTGCTAACTATATCAATCGGGCCCGGGTGCTTGAACAGCGCAATTCCATGTTACGCAAGCAGCTGGAGACCTTTCAACGCATAGACGAGCTAGCGGGCTTGGAGGAGGCATTTGCCGGACAGATCGAGTTCAATCGCCAGCGCATTCGTGAGCTGTCAACTGACCGGGCCAAACTGGAGCGTGAGGAGAAGGACGCGCAGCGCATGCTCGATGAGTTCCGCTACAAGTAAGCCAGCCACAGCCACGGGGTGTTTGTCCACTGCAGTCTGTTGGGGACACACATCACCTCTGGTAACAAAGAGAGGCAACAACTTAATTCCCTTATGTGTTAACTTCCCCAAGTCCCAGCTCTAGAATCCTGTTAGCTGGTTGATTTTTTTTTATGGAGAGTGGGCAAGTCCCATTTCTTTTCTCAAACCTCCACAGACCCTGCTTTCAAATGCTGGCAGGTCGGTGATGGGATTGCTGTCTTCTGTAGGAAAGTCCCACTGACAGCCATATGCTCTTTGTAGCTGTTAGGTGAGAGGACAGCAAGATGAAGCCCAGAGGGTCAGGATTTGTCTGGGATGCTTATGCATGGTTTCTCTATTCATGGCAACATACTAAAAGGTTTGTTATTCAGCACCCATGGGGAATGGAGGGTGCCAGATAACAAAATATGCTGGATAACGCAGTGGCCTGAACAGGCGTCTTTGCCTGATCGGGCTGCTGCCTGTCCCACCGCATCTGGGGTGTTGCGGCCCTTCCCGCTGCATCGCCACTCCTCCTGCGGGCCCATGGGCCCCGAGGGACAGGGAGGGGGGACTCACACAGCCAGCTATGCCCCAGGCCATGGGGGCTTGGCAGCACATTCTGCTTTCCTCCAGGCCATGGAGGTTCTGCAAAACCAGAAGGGCCACGGTGGGCACTTCCAGTTTCACTTTTCTCTTACAAGTCCTTACAAGCCAGCATGCCAGTTAACAGAGCATTCTGGCTTGTAAGATGCCGGTTAACACCGCTTTTGCTGTACAGGACATTGAGCCACTAACTGTGGTAATTGTTGGAGGCAAATTGATGTAGGATGATTTGCTGCTCCTTTGCCTTCATGCATATCAGACCTGACCTGGCAAAATCACTGGGGTGGAGGGTGAGCACATGGTGACAAGTTCTGGGCAAGGGTTGAGGAAAAGGAAGCCCTGACTGCATTTCAAAACTGTGCTACAGCAAAAGCTCTGTTATCAGGCACCCATGGGGGCTGGGGGGCACCAGATAACCAAACATGTTGGTTACCTGAGAGGCATCTTTGACTGGTTGGGTCGCTGCCTCTCCCACCATGTCCAGTGCATCAGTGTGCTGGGGGACAGGCATTGCACCACCCCACCCCACCCTCCCCTGGTGTCAGTATGCCAGGGGACGGGGGGGGCCACGCAGGCTGCTTTGCCCTAGCCGTGGCCCAAAGTGGGACTCGGTGAAAGAAGAAGTGGGACTTCTGGTTTCACTTTTGCCCCATCGACCGGCATGCCAGTTAATAGAGCATGCCAGTTAATGAAGTGCTGAATAACACAGTTTTTACTGTACTTTGTAGGAGCCCAGTTATTCCTCCCAGTTAGCATGTAGGATGAGCTTTGAAAGGAAAGTACGCAGAGGTACACAGCCTGTTGTCTTTATGAACATTGTGTTCATGCCTCCAAGAACCACAGCAGAGTAGGTACAATCCAGTTAGAGACATTTGGGGAGGTGCGGGGGGTGGTCAGAGTGGGCATTACAATAGAGCCTGGCTGAGAACAGGAGCATCTCCTGGGCTGAATTGGAGCAGCCCTGGAGGCAGCTTGCATTCATTCTTCTCACTTGCTTGGGCATTCACAGCAGTCAGCCCTACAGCAGTGGTTTTCAAGCTGTGCTCTGCAGAATCCTGGAGTTCCATGACAGGTCATCAGGGGTTTGGCAAAGAGATTACAGGTAATGCTTGAGTGTGCCAGGAGGAAGTACACCTCCATTGCCAGGCCACGTCACTTGGCTCTGAATCTACTCATATGGCCTGCAAAGCCAGGGATACAGGGGTCTATGACAGAAGTGATATAAAAGGGTTCCGTGACTTTTGGAAATTTGCAGACCACTGCCCTAAGGCACCTTCCCCTTCTGTCACTGGTATATTTGCTCTGTCAAGGCATGCAGTGAAGGGTCCATGGAGAACTCCTGGGATGAGACTCAGGGCTCCTCTCCAGTTCTCCTTCATTGTCTGCACCTGGACCAGTGCAAGTGGGCTGGGATAAGGATAGTCTCATCCTGTCTCTCCATGTGCTACAAGAATGGTCTTGAGGTTCACTCAAACTTAGTGAAGGGTATGACACCCAACACTTATCCCTATTTGCAACTATAAATAGCTCTAGCTCTTAATTATTACACATTCTATTATGTTTTTCAGGAACAGTATCATCAGGTTGTAATCCAGAATTGCTCAGGTCACTCAAGTCAGTCAACAAAAAGGCTTTGCAAGTATTGGTATAGCTAAAGGACTGGGGGTTTTGCCGGTGTAAATTGAGTTTGCATGGCCAGGGGGAGGGAGAAGAAACAGAGGGGAGGTTCTCCCTAGCAGAGGTAATGTCAGTTAAGATATGATTTTTTTTCACATGCTTGACTGACAGCTATTTCAGCAAAAGTTTGTAATTGTAGAACTGGCTTTATAGGAGTTTATATGAATTTTGGAAATATCTTACCTTAGAACTGATCTCCACTACCACAAAATGGAAAAATAACCACAACATTTTAAAAATGCAGTGACTCTTGAGTGATCTTTGTTGTTCTCATCTAAAACACAGTTAGCTTAGAATTTCAGAAGGGGCTCCATGTGAAGAATTGGCTTATGGTCAAAATATCTGGCTGGGAATCAGGAAACTCTGGTGCAACTTCTGGCTTTACAAGAGGCTATCTGAGTGACATGGAGCAAATCATGTGAATTCCTGGGTCTTCCTCCACTGCCTTTCCCCTCTTGCAACTGTGGGTGTAAAATATTACCTAGAGACAGCGTATACAACCACTTTGCACATCTGGAAATGGCCAAATAAGGTGCAAAGTAGTGAACTCTAAAGCCATGTGCAACTTAGTTTCTCACTTGCAAACAGGAATAGCAGTTCTCTACCACACTGAAGTGCCAAATAAATTGATAAATTAATGTTTGTGAGGTGCTTGTGCATCTTGGTAAACAGCTTTGCAGTCTAATAATTTTGAGCATTAAAAATATGGACTAATAGAATGATATAAACATTTACTATGGTGTGTGCTCAGTACATTTTACCATGCATGATCATAAAAATTAAGTGCACAGAACAATTATCTTAAATAACAATCATAAATCAGATCAGAATGCCTTCAAAGCATATTTCTTGTCTATAAAATCAAAGGAAGAGCTTTCAAACTACCCTAATTATTATGTACCTGGGTAAACGTGTGCTGGCTTAATCTGAACAATTTAGAAAACAGATCCAAGGAAATGAAATGCAGAAATCTCTCCCTAAATCCCATTTAAAAATCATCCTGAAACTGACAGAAGCCATTTAACAGATTCTCATGTCTATGTGAGTAGTTTCTGGATTAATTATGCTTGTGCATTCCCATTAAAGGGATAAATACTTAGGAATTGATTTAACTTAATGAAAAGTAGGGGAGCTTATACAAGCTGTGAACAACTGAGTAAACATCAGGATATAGATACGACCCACATCAGGTGGGAGAACTGATGTGAAAAAGTATAAAGGGATGCTATGTTTTAAAGATATAGACCTCCTTCCAGTAGTAATAGGGTTGCAGAAGCAAAGAGGGATTGGGACCAGCCTTTAAAGATGTGCTGCAAGTGCAAGACTCCAAAGCTTTCTTCAGCTATAGACAATTGTGGTAATGTGCACTATGGAATACAGATAACATTGGATTAAAAAAACCCCAGATGCTTAATAATCTCTTTAGCTCATTCAGCATACAATTAATTTGTTAATATTGTTACTTCTATAAACTCCTCAACAAGCAAGATCAATGAGAACAGAACTGCCACAAATCACTGATTATCATTCTAATTGTATGAGGTACATTATTAAGCAGCAGCAGTAAATGAAAGTAGCAATACATATGTCTGGCAGCCATCTCCAAGCCAACAATGGTAATCAATATTAATAATGAAATGATGATTAAAGATACATTGGGCCATTACTATGGAATGTTGGTTTCTGCTCTCTCTCTCTCTCTCTATATATATATTGTGTGTGTGTGTGTGTGTATGCATACCTTAGGAAAAATGAATCTGGGCAGACAAGTATTGGATCTGTTTTTAAGGAAGTGGGATAAATTGTTTTTGAATTACAGGTCATTCAAATGACTCAGTCTGAGATTTTGACTTTTAATTAATAAGGCTCTATCTTTCACGCTCATAACCAAGTTGGTGGTTATTGTTACAACTTCTAATCTACACAAACCATGGGTGACTGGTGCCTCCTGATTCAGAGGGGGCACTTGCCCCCCTCAGTGGCCAGTCAGCAACGGGGAGGGGGGGCGGGGGGGAGTCCCCCCGCAGCCGGTCGCATGCGGGGGGGGGGGGGGGCCCCCCCCCCCCAGCCGGTCGCATGTGCCAACCCAGAAGCAGCATTCCCTCTAAGCTCACTCTAAGAAGGAATGCTGCCTGGAAGTGCCAGTGGCATGTCCAGAAGGGCCAGGGACGCATCTGGAAGTACCAGCGGCACTTCTCCTGGTGCCCCTACCACCCCGGCTAGAACTCACAGGGGGAGTACAGTACTTCTACCTGCCCCTACCACCTGCCACCTAAGCAGGGGATGCTGGCTGTGAGGGGGTGCAGTAGTGCTCTCAGGGAGTGCATGTGCACCCCCGTGCATCCCCTATGCATCGCCACTGACACAAACCCATCAGTTAGATAAATAAAAGTTGTGAGTAGTACTTAATGACTAGTTAGGCCATGATCACACATGGCCATTCACATCCCAAAGTAACTTTATGCACCATTAAAATCCTTTAAATGGGGTTCAAGGGACAGAGTTTGCCTTTGACCTCCTTTATAAGAGTGATCTTTGCCCATTGAGGAAGACAGCAGATTTTAGCAGGCAAAAGGCTGATTCTATACAATTTGGTTAGGCAAGAACAGTCTTCCACTCAGTTAGCAGGTTCCTTTGAGTTTAGAGATGTAGCAGTTTTGCAGATGTATTTATTAGGCTGCAGTGATTGCCTCTCTTGGCAATGGCAACAGGG